TAGAAACAGTTATGCAGTGACAGAACAAGTATTAATCTCACCCTCTTGTCCTCTATCTATTCTCAAACAGTAGCCAGAAAAAATTGCCCATAGAAATAAAGACTGGGCAAGCATATATGTCATCTGTGTATTCTATGATATGTCATCTGGGTATACTATCTGGCTACTTTTTGATTTTGCTGAACCTGACTTTTGCTGTTGCCTAAGTAATCCACAACAAACCATTCTTCCAAATATTTGCTCAATCTTCCTTTAAGCTAATGTGTGCATTTTGCATCTAAAATGTTTGGAAAATAGTTCTGCAGCTCCAGCTATCCTTTTGTCAAAGTTTAAAACTAAATGACACTGTGGATCTAAATGGATTTGGATGCCAGGGCAGTTTCATCACAGATATATGCAATTTTACCAATGACCCAATTTAGTTGTGTTTAGAAAGAGAGTACAGAGAGAGAAGCCACGTGGGTTAGCACAGTGGGATTTTTGTGCAGCCTCCCCATTATGTGGGAGAGAGAAATGCAGTCCTGGGAAGAGGCTGGGCAGGATAGTGGGGTAGGTCCTGCCATGCTGCATATTATGTTGGTAAAAGGACCTTGGATTTTCTTAAGATACAGTTGTGGATCCCACTGGTTCTTCCCCCATGAAGTCTACCAGGTACTCCTGGATGACCCAGACATCCCTAAGTGTTCTTAGTAATAGCATTGGGTATGGAACACCATGTTGTAGTGTGGTCCATTCAAATTGTATGGGTGGTCTCTGGTATGCTGTCAGCATTATTAGCTTTCACAATCTGTTTGTCACAGCCATTTTTTAAGAGTTTTGCATTCCTTTGTGATTAACATCTTCTTTGAATAGTTTGGGTATGTACATTTTGAACACATTAAGGTATTTTACCATTTGGGACTAGTTGTTAATCATATCTTGCCTAATTCTACTAAGGCAAAATTCAGTTATACTTCACATGCTAATGCTGTCAGACATGCTAACTAGACCTAACTCATTCTAACAGTTAAACAAAATGTTTACAGGTAGGAAAAAATTATACAAGAGTAAAATGCTTTGATAGGCATTTTGCAGGACTCAAACAATGACTGTTGGGTTTTTTTCCTTTGGTAGAAAAATCACTTTATATTTAAAAAAAAAAATAATTGGGGAAAATTGTAACTCATCATTTACTTATTAATTATCTTCCGAGCTTTGCATGTTAGTTTGTTTCAAGTGAAAAGTAAAAGTGTTTGGTATTAGCTTTCCATCTCACTGTTTTTTTCATATAAGCAGAGTAATTGGTCCAGCAAAGAATTTCTTGGTTTGGTTTGTGTTAGTATTTTTATAAATGAAGTTTCCTCTTGCTAAGTGCTTTGAGTACCTGTACTGTACCCTGAAGAGTAGCATCAGAAGTGTAACAATCTCTCTAGTAGGAAAACTAAACATGACCAGAAAGCAAAGAAAACTAAGAAACAAAGAAAAACAAAGAAAACTAAGTGGTGATGTAGTGTCATCACTTTTTGTAGTGATGACATCTTAGTTGTGAGTCATCTTCTCTCTGTCATGTATTCCATCCTCCTGGTCCTTCAGCTATTCACAATGGGAATTGTATTTGAATACAAAATAACTTCTCTCTTGTTGTGGTTTAACCTTATCTGGCAACTAAGTACCACACAATTGGTTGCTTACACACACAGCCAGGGCAGGAAGACAGTTAGAACAACAAACA